ATATTCTCTTTATTGCCTGAAGATGCATGCTGTTTGGATTATGCATGAATTGACTTGCAAGATTAACGGCATGAGTAATGTCTGGTCTTGTGAGTGTGAGGTACTGCAAGCTTCCTACAATGCTTCTGTAAGCTGAGGGATCAACTGCTTTGCTGGCTGCTTCTTGTAGACCATGCTTCTGAGCTAGTGAAGTATGCACTATTTTTACATTTTCCATATCCACTTTTCTAAGCAGATCATTTGCATATTTGTTTTGGTTCAAATGAATTCCTCCAGGAAAATAGCTTACTTTAATACCTAAAAAGTAACTCAAGGGTCCAAGATCCTTCATAGCAAATTCATGCCCCAGGTTTTGCACTACTTCCTTTATCTGCCTTGAGTTGCTTCCTGTAATAATTATATCATCTACATATTATAGAAGTAATATTGTTCCTTATACATCATGGAGAGTAAATAGGGTGGAATCTCGACTGCATTTGAAACCAAGATGAAGCAGGAATAGACTAAATCTCTCAAACCAAGCTCTAGGAGCTTGTTTGAGACCATATAGTGCCTTTTTCAAGAGACATACATGATCAGGATACATTGGATCAGTGAAGCCTGGTAGGTGAGTCATATAGACTTCTTCTTGTAGATGACCATGTAGAAAGGCATTCTTAACATCGATTTGCCTAATGGGCCAATGTAAAGTGACAGCAACAGAGAGAATAACTCATAGAGTTGTAGCTTTAACTACTGGACTGAAGGTTTCTTCAAAGTCAATCCCTTCAAGTTGTGAGTATCCTTTTGCAACTAACCTTGCTTTTTGTCTTTCTATTGATCCATCTGGCTTCATTTTTGTTTTAAACACCCACTTAGATCCTACTACATTCATTGTTTACTACATTCAATGTTGAAGTTCTGGGGACTAGTATCCAAGTTTCATTTTGATGTAAAGATGCTAATTCTTCTTGCATACCTTTAATCTAGTGAGGGAAAGTATGAGATTCTTTTATAGTTTTAGGTTCTTCTAGTTTTGTTTGTACAACAGCTAGTGAGGTATGAGCTCTTGGAGCTTGTTTGAGACCATATAGTGCCTTTTTCAAGAGACAGGCATGATCAGGATACATTGGATCAATGAAGCCTGGTGGGTGAGTCATATATTCTTGTAGATGACCATGTAGAAAGGCATTCTTAACATCTAGTTGCCTAATGGGCCAATGTAAAGTGACAACAATAGAGAGAATAACTCTTATAGTTGTAGCTTTAACTATTGGACTAAAGATTTCTTCAAAGTCATTCCCTTCAAGTTGTGAGTATCTTTTAGCAACTAGCCTTGATTTGTGTCTTACTATTGATCCATCTGGCTTCATTTTTGTTTTAAATACCCACTTAGCTCCTACTACATTCATTGTTGAAGTTCTGGGAACTAGTATCCAAGTTTCATTTTGATGTAAAGCTGCTAATTCTTCTTGCATAGCTTTAAACTAGTGAGGGAAAGTAAGAGCTTCTTTTATAGTTTTAGGTTCTTCTGGTTTTGTTTATGAAACAGCTAGTGAGGCATGAGTTATAGGAAGAGACTTAGCTTTGAATCTGGTGACCATTTTATGGCCTTGATCAGTGATCTCAGGTTCAACATGAACTATATTTTCTACTTTCGCTGGAGGTGATTCAACTTGGTCATTGAAGAAGTGTGACAAGTCCACTTCTAGCTGCAATCCTCTTGGATCTGTCACTGTGAACTGCATAGGTGTTTCATCTGAGTGAGAGGCCTCTGAGTGCAATTCATCATTATCTGAGTTTTGCATGTCTGTTGAGGGCTCAACAACACTGTTTGTGACCTCCACAGCCTCATCCTGATCAGACTCAACAGCATCACTGTGATCAGTAGTTGGATCAGTTGTTTGAGCAGTAACACCATCATCTTAATCATTTGAAACATCGGCTACAATATCATGATCAGCTCTCAACACAGCACTTTGATCATTTGAAACATTATCTGCAACATCATCATGATCAGCTCCCAACACTTCCCAGTAGCAGTAGAGTCTGATGAACCAGACTTAGCCTGTGATGTTGAGAAAAATTCAAAGAAGGTGGCTATATGACTAGAGTCGTTTGGTGCACTATCAGTCTTGTTTTCCTGCACATAGGGAAGAGTTAGTTCATCAAATACGTCATGTCTTGACACAAAGACCTTCCTTGTGGTTGGATGATAGCACCTATAGCCTTTATGCAGACTGATGTGACTAATGAACACACATGGATAGGACTTAGGTGAGAACTTGTGTTTTCCCTTTAAGCAAGGGAAACACTTGCACCCAAACCCTTTCAAAATGTTGTAATCAGGGTGTGAACCATGCAATTTATGAAATGGTGTTTCTTTTTTAAGCACAGATGATGGCAATCTATTTATTAGGAATACTGCTATGAGAAATGCTTTAGTCCATAAATATAAGGGTAACCTAGCATGTAGTAGTAGTGTTAATCCAGTTTCCACTCCATGTCTCTGATTCCTTTCTGTAATGCCATTTTGCTCAGGGGTGTGAGGACAGGAAATATGTCTTACAGTGCCACAGTCCTCTAAGTACTTAACAAATTCAGAACCTGAAAATTCACCTCCACCATCACATTAAAAGATCTTGATTCTCTTTGAATACTGTTTCTCAACCATTTTGTGGAATTTGACAAATGTTTCAAAGAAATCATATTTTCTTTTTAAAGGATACAACCAAGTATATCTACTATGATCATCAACAAATAAAGCATAGTATTTCATATGTTGGGAAGATTCAATAGGAGCAGGACCCCATAAGTCACAGTGAATGTTCAATAGAGGTTCATTCTCAACATTACTTCTCAATTTGAATGGTAGTTTACAACCTTTTCCCATTTGACAACTAATACAAACGATAGGAGCTTTATTCCAACATGTGACATTGATAGACTTATTGTTACTAAGTACTTCTAAGGACTTAGAATTTGGATGCCCAAGTCTGGCATACCAAATATCACTAGAGTTTCTCCTTGTCTGTGTTGCACTCAAAGCAAGCAGGTTGTCCATCTTCAAGGCATATATCTCTCCTCTTTTAGCACCCTTGGCCATCCGTTTCCGTGTCCTCTTGTCCTTTACAGCAAAAGATGATTCATCAAACTCAATAGAGCAGTAATTATCTCTAGTAATCTTACTTATAGATAACAGATTCTTTTTGAGCTTAGGAACTACTAGCACTTCACTCATCCTTAAACCAGAAATTATTCCTTTTCCAACATGTGTGATATCCAGTTCTTGTCCATTTCCTACTGCAATTTTATCATTTCCATTGTAAGGTTTAATATTAGATAAGTTACCTGAATTGTTGGTCATGTGAGTGCTTGCTCCAGAATCCATAGAGTGAGCATTATCTCCACCACTATGACTGTTAACATTGAGTGTAGCAAGAGCTTGTGGCAAATCTTCTAGTGCTTGATAGGAGAAGTCCCATTTGTAGAAGCACTTTATTGAAGTGTGATTGTTCCTGCCACATATCTGACAGGCTGATGATCCTGTGGTTTCCTGTCCCTTAACAGCATTTTTAGATCCTTGAGTGTTTTGATTGTTGTTCTGTCCGGCAGGCCCGACGCCTCTACCTTTTGAACTGTAGTTCATGTTACCTCTTCTTCCTCTACCTCTGTCGTTGTATGTCCTTTGTGCTGCAAATGCCATATTGTGATTCACTTGTTGTGGATAATATCCTTCATCCTCTCTGAGATCAAAGCCTCTTAGAGAAGTGACCAACTGGCTCAGAGTTGGATAAGGTGCTCTGCGAAGCATCACTGTCCTAAATGTTTTGTATTTAGGACCCAAACCTCTAGCAAAGTTGATTACCTTGCTATCATCATCTACATGCTTGTGTATGGCAGCCAAGACATCACAAATGCCTTTGAATTCCTTTAGATACTTATCGATGGTTCTACTGCCAAGCTTGATGGTTTGAAGTTGTTGCTTCAACTGGAATTCCTTGTCCTTTATTGCTTGCAGATAGGTTTCTTCCAGGCATTCCCACATCTGTTTAGTAGTCGTGCATCCCACAATGAGTTACATGCTCTCTTCTAACATTGTCCCTGATATCCAACTCCTTAACAACACATCATTTTCAGCCTAATCATCAGTAGTACTGTCTTTGTCAACTCCCTTGCCACTATCTTTGTCGCTACTTTCACTGGTGCCTTCTAGTTTATAATTTCTGGCTTTCCGTCAATGAGATAGTTCAACCTCATTACTTGTATGAATTGCATCATTTGTGTTCTCCATATCAGGTAGTTAGAGGGCTTCAACTTCACACGGCATGAGGCAATGAGATGATGAAGAGAGGCTGTTGAAAAGGTGTTGGAAGCCATATGGACAGAGTTGATACTGTGTAGTAAGAACTGAATTTTTGGCAGCGGGGTTGGCTTCAAAGTAGTTCTGATACCATATGAAATTATGGTGCAGAGACAATGTCAAGAAAACAGTGTATTGATGTATCTTCAGTTACATGAGTCCTATGTATTTATACAGTATTTTCATCCTATATTTTGGCTATACTACATAGAGTAGGACTCTTCTAGGATAGATAATACAAAGAGTCCTAATTCTTCTAAACTAGGACTAAGTGATTGTATAGTTATCAAGTTTGTTAGCCTGATCATTATCTTCCAACACGTGTTACTATTTTTATCAGATTATCAATTAGTGTTTGTTATAGAAATTTACATATAATTACCTACTAAGTGACTTAATCGAGTAAATAGTACTTATATTGTTACTACATAGAATTTAAACTCACTTCAATATATCCCAATGGAACCCCATATAATGCAAAGAGAAATTTCATTTCCATGGCAATTTAAAGTTTATTTTCATAAGGAAAGGCCAAGTTAGTCATTTCCAATTTTCTTTTTTCTGTGAGGAAATTGTGAGTACGTCATAATCTCTTGTGAACCTAGTGGTACTCTCATGCAGGATACAAACAAACAGATCATATATGTTTTTGAAAGCTCCATCTTCTCTTTAAAAAGCCATCACAAACATCGCAGCAATATGAGCAAAGAAATAAAGAAGAAACAGTATAGCATATGGGATCCAAAGACCAAAAAAATGCATTGCTCAATCAACATTTGGAGCAACTTGGTTCAATTACTAATTCCCCTTCTGTAAAAATCCTCTCATCTTTTCTATTTCAATTTCTTACTTGTTTAATTTTCTCTGCTCGCGATTCAATTTATTTTCTTTGATTTGTTTTTCTTTTTGGGAGGGATTGGATTTATCATGAATTAATAAATTTTACGCTAGTAATTATCGTCAGCTTACCCCAACTTGTTTGGGATTAACACGCAATTACATTGTTCTTTGGGTTGGGGGGGGGTGGGGGGGTA